CCCCTACTCTCTGTGATCCTGGTATTATGACAGATAGTATTCATGGTCTTGAAGTAGACTCTATACACTAACGCTATATTTTCTGATCCTGGTTTCATGTCGAAACCTTGGGTCTGAATCCTAAGAGTTAAGGCTTCATGGATTCCCAGATCTGTTAGTGACAGAAAAATTTGTGAAGAAATTGAAATAGATTGGCCCTTGATGAAGGCTTCCTTCTATTACCCCTAATAAGGAGTCACTGAATCTGTTATGTCTAGAATCGGTAAGACAGGCTAAAGCAGCTGTTTGTAACCCCGTCCTGGTTAATGGTTTGATGGTGACTTGTATTAAGCCAAAATGTATAAAATTACAGTCAGTCTTATAAGTCTCTATTACCTTCTTATCTACGAGAGAAAAACTCTCTGCTTCGTTTCCTAGGGCGATTGTTCTTTCTACAGTCCTAATATTTAGGTATGTTTTTAGGCTGAATATTCCTTTTTTGTATATTTCAGATGGTGCAATCTTTGGGATAGTCTAGTTATGTAAAGATTTTTCTATATTATCGCAGCCTACTTCTTCCATATTTTTTAGGGACATGGATTTCGCTAAGGATGTCCTGCTACTACTTTCTCCAGAGTTTTTGGAGGAACTAGAGGCGGTCTTAAATAACTTTATCTTATCCTTTTACTTCATCAAATATGGTCAGTCAACTTTCACGGCCCTCACTCTTCGGCCTACAACGCGACTACGACCTTGGCTCAAGGGTTCTAACCTTGGTAAAACTGGCAGGTGTCTAGGCTGTCCAACTGGGGTTCTAGCCTAGTGATATCTCCGAAGAAGCTACAATCTTTGGGTTCTAGCCAAGGCGTAAGGTTAATATGGAAGATAGAGCATAAAGGAATCAAGAGCTTTGGAAATTATAGCTAAAACATGAGAGATTTAGGGATCAAAGGCTTTGATAGCAAATGGGGTGTGAACAATATATAATAATAATAGTAGTAGTAGTAGTAGTAGTAGTAGTAGTAGTAGTATGTCAAGTCCTGGTAAGACCTTTGCAATTGAACTGAAAAGGAATTGCAAAGGTTGGTTCATAACTATGTTTTAGTTTTTTGGTAGAAATGGAAAACAAATGATCTATGTACCGGAAGGGAAAAGGAAGAGTGGGTGGATGGCCTTTGTGGAGAAGTTACAAGAGTTCTTTGTTGCCTAGGCTAGAAAGAAGACAGAGGATATGAAGATATCTGGTCTGAAGTCCAAGGGTCAAGGCAGGAAGAGCCAGGAGGAGGGAGGTATGGTAGAGACTACTGGGAGTGTTAACACAAGGCTCTGGGTCTCCTGGTTTGGTAGTTGCTTGCGCCTCAAATCACTAGAGAATATGGGTAGGAGCAGGGACGGATGAAATGGAAAAAAAGAATGATCTTAGTGGCTGATAAGGGAGTCAAAGACTGGAAAGAAGTATTGAATGCAGTTGTAGGGAAGTTAGGTTTGGGCAATGAAGCAATGTTAATCCCGTTTACAGAAAATAAGGCCATTCTTGATGTAGACGGCCAAGAGTTAAGCTTCAAAGCAATGGTTGTGGGCAGTGGCATTATACAAGTCCAGAATTGGAGTCCAAGCTGTAATGAAGTGGAAGTTCAAAATGGGGGCACCCAGCTGAAGCTTGTTGACCTTCCTTTCAACCTCTGGTAGGACTCTGCTCTTTTTTTTTTATCAATAAGCAGGACTCTGCTCTTGAACAAATTGCTCATAGCTTCAGAGGAGTGCTGTTGCAGGCTAATAAAAATCATCTGGATGCCGTTGAGATGAAGGTTGCTGGAATCAAGCATGAAAAACTGCCTAGGGTCTTCGAGATATGCTCAAATGGGGTGTGGTATAAGGTGTGGGTGGCTTCAAAAGTTGAGCAGGTGTGGTGGGGAAGAACTCCCAAGGTTGAAGACAAAGGTAAGGTGGTAGGGTGGTGGACACATGGAAGAATGAGATTGGGGTGTGAAAAGGATTTGCAGGGGGAAATTAAATTGGCACGTATTTAGTCGTCTGGGGTAAACCAAACGACACGCATGCCAGTAAAGGAATTTAATTCAAATCTAATAGACTTGAATTTAGTCAAAGCGGGCCACCTCTCTTATGCTGATGTGGCGAAGGGATTAGATGGATGTTGCAATCGAAACGCCTAGTCTAAACCGGTGTTGGGCGGGCCAAATAATAAACCGAGTTTTAATTTTAAGTACTTAAAGGATCACGTGGGTCGGGACAAGGGGTTGGAAATTGTTTCAAAGCTCGGTACGACGTTCTTTAGAAAAACCGAATCCAAGGTACGCAAGAGAGAGAAATGAAGAGAGGGAAGAACTGGGCAAAGGCTGCGTGCACTTAGCGCAGATGAGGAAGATCTGGGAGAGAGTTCAGAGGGTGGAACCAGCATGGGAAGTGTGAATGACAAAGGTGGATGCGATTTGGGACGGCCAAGAAGGTATGACAGGGAATGGAAGCAGATTTGGGACTCATGAAGTAAATGGGACTAAGGACAACAGCCGAAATAACCCACTCTCAAGACTTCAGATCGGGCAAGGTGTAAAAGAAGTGGTAAACCGGGGGAACTTGCGGCAAAGCAAAAATGTACTAATAAGGGGTGAACCAAGGGCTGAGAGGAGAGATTGCCATGGTGCCCAAAGGACAGAAGGGCTTTCCAACCAACCTAAGGAGACAGTATTTTACCAATCCTCTGAACATGAAAGGGGGGCTGGGAACAATGCCACGTGTACCTCTCCCACTTGTTGATCAAACCCAGGTATGATTTGAACTCAAGCAACTCCATAAAATTTTGGGAACAAACGTGGGTGGGGAATGCACCTCTTAAGGACCAGTTTCCTTCTTTGTATGCTCTTTCGATTTTAAATATGAGTCAGTTTCCTCTTTTTTGAACCCATCCTCTTCCATTTCTGGGTTTCGTTGGAATTTGGGTCTGAGATGGGCTGTGAAGGACTCATACCTAGACAGTATCTCATGTCTCCTCTCTATTCTTGATAATGTTTTCTTGGACCCTTTTAAGGATGACTCCAGAATCTGGACCCCCACCCCTACTGGTTCTTTCTCCTATGCCTCCTTCTTTAAAGTACTAAGCTGGCCCACCAATCCTGTAACCCCCCCTTTCCCTGTTAATGAGGTTTGTTGGAGAGGCTTTCTGGAAAGAATCAACACTAGTGATCTGCTCCAAAAGAAGAGACCCAATACTTGTTTGTCCCCTCATTGGTGTGTTCTTTGTAAAGCTGATGGGGAGACCGGTTTTCCTCTTCTGGTGTCTTGCCATTTTGCAAAGTCTATTCGGGAGTGGGCTTGCTCTCTTTTTGGGTGTACCTGGATTCCTCCTTCGAATTTGCAAGGCCTTTTTTATCCTTCTTTTTTCAGGTGGCATATGAAAAGGGGAAGGACTATGTAGAGAGGACTGAGGGCAGTAGTATGTTGGTCTTTGTGGGAAGAAAGAAATTCCGGAATCTTCTTTGATGTAGAGACTAGAGAGAGGTGTTGAAGAGTTGAGGACCCTGATCCACATAAGGGTTATTCAGTGGATGAAGTCCCTAGAGATCTCCACAGAATATACAGTGGATGATATGCTGAAAAAGTGGGGTGAGATTGCTAGTTGTACCCAGACTAAAGCTGAGATTGGGGGTGTCTTGGACTCCCCCACCTGCGGGCTTCATAAAACTAAACTTTGATGGAAGTAGCATAGGCAACCCCGAACAATCAGGGATTGGGGGTGTCTTCAGGGATGAGAATGGGGTCGTTTCTGCCATGTTCTCAGGCCCAATTGGAGTGGGTGACTCTCTCAGAGCTGAAATCCACGCAGTTATGGAAGGTGTCCAGAAAGCTAGGGAGATGAATATCAAAAAACTTATAATTGAAAGAGACTCGGAGGTGATGGTTGGGTGGCTGAACAAAGAAGAGAGTAGTTTATGGAGTTATAGTAACTTGAAAGGAAATTCAGATGGCTGGTTCGAGAAATGGAAGTTAAAATCAATTGGGTAAAAAGATCAGCTAATTCTTTTGCTGATGGGTTAGCTAAACAAGGGGTGGCAGGGATGTCATGTTTTGGGCACAGATGTAATTTAATTTTTCTCTTCTTATGTTCTCTCTTTCTCTCTTGTTTCTTCTCTTGGGGCTCATAATGTAGTTGGAAGATTAGAAAGTCTGTCTTCCTCTTTATAATTATTGTGATAATTAATGAATTGTGTTATTGATCAAAAAAAAATTCTACTCTGAAAAGGGGTTCTTTTCAGAGCTTAAGAAAAACAAGAAAAAAAATGAAACAAGGTTTATTCTAGAAGGCTATTGCTCTTTCATATTGTTACAGCATTTGCAAAAGACTCTTGCAAATTAAATCGAGGTTTTGGCTTCTGGTGACATAAGGCAACTGGATCAGTAAATGTTAATGATTGATCGGGAACGAGATACTGAAGACAAGAGGTAGAAGGCTTTGAGTTAGAGCTCAGAAGACGAGACTTGAAATGAGCATTCTAACATTTTCGCATCGAAAACTCAAATTGGGCAAATGATATCACAGGTAGAAAAGAGGAAGTCATTTTCCAGCAAAGAGAGGCAAGTGAGAAAACGGATGTGCTGGAGAAACTTTGTTGCCTGAACGCCAAACACAAGGGCTCTGTTTGATTAGGCAGAAAACCAAATTCTGAAGTAATCAAACGAATGAGAAGCACGAAACACCTATATCGACTCAGCTGAAGCTTTTATCTTTCATATAGGAAAATTAACACAAATGTTATAAGAAATGTTATCTTATTATTCGAACTTTCAAGTTTGATTTGTAAAGATCCAGACTTCAAAAGTATTCAATCCTTCTCTCAGATTTCCCATGCCTATGTTATAAATTGCAAATGAGAAGGCAAAAGAACAGAGAAAAGGACAGAGGGGATCGATGATCGGTACAAAATCATCAGACGGTGCCAGGAAACAAGAACGCATAGATGAGCAAATAAAAGAAGCTTTAAAAGCAAGAAGGAAATTTGGAGTACCCGACGGAATTACAGTAGCAGCAACGTCACCGCCACCGGAAGAAATTCCAACGGATTGGAGCTGCTCGGAAACCTTATCAACCTGCTTGTTATTGCGGTCTGCATGTTAAGTGTTAACAATCATAAGATTAACAGTGATTGGGGGGTTCATCTATCCACGAAGAGATTAAGAAAAGAAAAAGAATAGAAAGGAAGTACCTTTAAGAAGATCGGGGTAAAGTTCAGGAGCATTTTCGATCAACCAGGGCTTGCATTTCTCAAAATCAGGTCCAAATTCGCAATACTCAGCAGGGAGACTGCAAACAGGACAGTACAGAACGCGAACCGGCTGGGGTTTCTCCGCCATTAAAACTCTCACTTGCTTTTGAAACTGTCTGTCTCGACCTCTGTCTATATGTATTTATGGCTTCACGGAGTGCTTTCCTTCCTTCTCCTAAACGCTAAAACACAGGGAATGGAAATGCAAATCTAACAAGGTTGAGAGTTGAGACGAGTTCGATCGAACTATTTGAACACTAGAACAGTTCAGAGATCAGAGCCTCTAACCGTGGGCCGTGGCTTCTTGGGCGGGCTACACGTCCAGAGAATCATGGCCGAGAGTCCGAGACCCACTACTTTATTAAGTCACAAGTCCCAAGTCCTAACCAAGAGAACCCTCTGGGCCTCTGGCAAATGTATATATCTAAACGATGAGCTATAACCCGCCTAATGAGAATCACTTTTTAATAAATTGTCTTATCTTAACCTAAAACTATAAACTAGTTTTCACCTATATCATATGGAATCATGGAAACAGATAAGCATTCCGTAGGTGGGGCTGTAAACTAAAACCATTGACCGGTCTTTAACCTAAAAATCTAAAATCATTAAAGAAATCACAAGAGGCAGATCCACAGATGGAAACCTGGTCCTGTTGGGCTTGGGTTGAGCCGTTGAGGCCTTGGCTAACGCAAGATTAGCCCAACCCAATCGGTCTTTGGGGTTTCTCCCAATCCTACATTCCTACTATTACATTTTTATGCCACTAGGTATTTGTGAAAAGTGATTATATGCTGTATATGATTTTCGATTTTCGTAGCCAGGCTAGACCTATCCTGGCTCACCCTGTAATAGGTAGGAAGAAAAAGAAAAAGAATAAAAGATGTTGTTTTAAGTTTGTCTTAGGGGGCTGAATTCAATGACTTATTGACTTGCCTTTTAGCAGATAAAATAATCGAGGATACAGCAAGTAAACAACCCAACGAGTTCATAATCTCCCTGATAACTTATTCACTGAATGAAAAGGCAATAAGTAATTCGCTTCAACCACTTCAGTCTTCAGCTATATTCAAGTGGCCCCTAAGGCTATGTTTGTTTTGAAGGAAAAAGTAGGGAAAGGTAGGAAAACCTTCACAAATCTTGTATACATTTCTTTACTTTTCCCTACATTTTCCTTCAAACCAAACATAGCCTAATGGAGAGTACGGGTCATAATTTTTTATTGACATGGCTGCAACAAAATTTCCATTATTTGTCCTCACAAGTCACACCACCCCAAAATACGAAACTATAGGACTGATAGAACTAACCGCCCACCATCACATTTGCTTTAAAGTTTAAACCATTGAGGCTCTGGCAATGCCCAAAATATCTTTCTATTGACTGCAATTTGTTTAATCTTGGAAATAAACTTAAGAGGCAAATGTCTTGCCTACATCAGTACATGCACCCCTGTTCCATCTGTATCCAATCTCCTACTCGGCAGTAACCTTAAACAAGTAAACGATTCTAGTCCCATGAGTTCACTTTCAATAGAGAAAGAATGTGTGTAAAAAGATGGTTCGCTGGAATTTTCTTTTTGATGAATAACGATAAGTACTGATATCAGACGAAACAAAAAGGGCTGAAGCTCATTTACGAAAGGTTAGATGACGTACAAATATGGCATATTTACATGGAAATAAAATCATTTGTAGATTTCCTTGAGTATTTGTTATTAATGGTCTTGTATATTAACATAATAATCTTATTGCTTACATACGTTCATTCATTTTCTTGGATGGACCAGGACGGCCTCAGTTGCCAAAGGTTAATGGTCAACTCATCCTGAACTCACTGCTGCCATTGTGAATCATTAGTGTTACACCAAACATAGAGTGGCTCTTAGAGTATCCTGTAGTGTAAACCTAATTCAGTTGAGAGTTGAGACCAGAACAACAAAGCTGTTGAATAATCCGATTGAAAGATTCAAAGGTATGTAAAGTAAATTAAGCTTTAGGGTTATGTCCTAAAAGATCTGAAAATGGGGATTTACGTGTTTCCCTACCATCATCAGAACTCTACCCACGAGTTAATTCAGGATGAAGATAACAAAGGGAAGAAAAAGTTAGAGAAGAATAAATAGTTTGCAAACACGAGGAAAATAAATTACTATAAATGATGATTATGACAAGATAAATATATTAGGGAACCTGCATCCTATTCCAATAGTATTTGTTCCCTTGAAAAAATTCACGGTCAAGGAGAGAAAATTGGGGGAAAAATAGAAGAAAAACGTCGCTCTACCCTTTAATGTAAGAAGTTATGGTATCAGACAACCACCTTGTTAATTCTAGACCTTCTCATCAAGTTCACTAGAATCAGACAGTCCGCCATGCTTTTGCTGTCTATTTGTTGGCAATGAATGGCTCTTACGCTCTTTCCCTCCTGGTTTAGATGAAGCATTACCATACCAAATCATTCCAACCACTGCTATGATCATGCCAAGCACCACTTGTAGATTCAAACCTTCTTTTCCAAAGAAAATGAATCCCAATATCAAGACAAGGATAGTCTTCATGTGGCCAAGGACCTGGAAAGACACAGCTGTAAATCTGCCAATGCAAATGAATTGGCTGAGGTTGGTCCCTACTGCAATGGTGCATGATAGAATAATGAACAGCTGCAGGGAATAATGAAGCAAAATCAATACCCTCGAGCAACATGTCAATGCAAATGCATCTCTAAAGTATATGCATATGCCTAAGTAGGAACAAACAATATATTCAAAATGTTGTTTACCCAGAATGTCAAACCCCTGATCTGGTGACCCATAAGGCTGACCAGGTCTCTGGTTTTGACGGTTTTGAAATTACATCAGGTAAAGCACCCAGTTCAACTGTTCAATCTACAACCAGGACAGCTTTCCAGTTCGACATTCAGGTCAATTTTTAAAACATTGGGAATAATATCAAATAGACATACTTGTATGAATGGAGCATACAACATTCTAAAATAACAAGTATCAGATCGTGAAATCATCTATCGGGAACAGAAACTAGTGGACCACTTTGAATGGGATAACAAAACACCAATAGAAAAAAGTTTCTGTCAAAACATGGACCTAAAAAAATTGAATAGTATGCAAGAAGTAAAGTTGTCAAGAATCCCAGCACCAGTCACATCCATCAACATCCCTATGTTCATATAGACACCTAGAAGTTCAATAAAATGTTGATCAATACAAAATACTAGCAAGTTCTTGGACATATATTCATATATGTACACATAGCTTAGAAGCTAACACAGGTACCGTGTTAGTGCATGCATTTTTTTACAGGTTATGTATAGTATATGCATCCACATGTAAACGTATAAATCAGACAGTTTGAACAGATAACCATCTTAGATACCCTGCGTAGACACATTCCTACCTAAATATCCAGGAACCAAACAAATTTTAAAACTATGAGCACCAAATAAATGTGTTGTTTCTTTTGTCTTTTGGAAGCCATGTACAAATGCAATACCTACCACGGCCATTAAGTTGTAGTCAAAAGCGTCCACTCTTTTGTTTGTCAACCAGTAATCCAGGAAAGGTCCTAACAACAGCAGTGATGCAGCCTGAGCTGGTGCTGTATGGCCCAACAGGTTGAAGGATCCAAGTGAGTACTTCCTTTGGAGGAAGTGTACATACTGCATAGACAGACAAAATTAACAGAATCAATAGATCTAACACAGACACCTCAGCTTAAATTCATATCAAGTCTGAAGATATGTAATATAGATGACATTATGTAGAAAATAGAAATATATTTTTGAAAAACTGATAAAAGCATTGTATCAAAGAGAAAGGTCATCACCCCTGTTTAACAAGGGACTGTATAGTGGGGAATATACAAAAAGAGTTTATGTATATCAGGAACTCTAATTACAGAAACAGAAAATCAGCATAAAAATTAAAAAAAAAGAGTTGTAGGATCTTCCTTTGAACAAGAAATGCATAGCCAACCAAGATAATAACATTCCTTTTATCTTCTTGGTGATACTATGTAAAAATATAAATTATAAAGAAAAACACAAAAATATAGATCCACTGGCCAGAAGAATCCATGAGAGACGGCTGATTTTAGCAATGAATGACTTACATACTGTTGCAGAGAAGTGCTCCAGACTGCCACAAAAGCAGCAATAAAACCTCTAGCATTGACACTCACATCAGTGACAGTGCAGACTGCAACACCCAGTAGAACAACTGCTATACTAAGTTTCGTGTCTCTAGAATATCGAATCTTGTCAAAGACAACCTCAAGAAGACAGGATACAGGGATCATACTCAACTTCGCAATCTGACAAATCATAGTACAAAATATACTTTAATCTGAAATTACCAACACTTGTAAGTCAAATGAAGAATAAAACCTAGCAGATACCAGAACTGACCTGGTAGAATCCAACTGAGTTCCACATTAGGCTTACATTCATCCCAACAATGGAAAAGTTTGCAAAAATGACAAACTTCAGAAGCTCAGGTAGTGGCAGATGGGAGGCCTGGACATATCCCAGCCACCGAAGAATAAGTGTCATAAGTGTTGTGGTGGCAAAATGCAGACCTGTTAATGTTGTAGCTGCAAGAGATCATAAATATTGGCCCCATTTTCAGGAGCCAAACAGGCATATTGCCATTTAGTACAAGATACATACAGAAAAGGAAAATGCATTATCAACTAATAAGATGAACAAAATTAGTTAAAAACGCTTGATCACTTTACAGAAAGAAATTTCCAATTGCCAGTTGCAGCAAATAGTCTCATAAAAAAAAGCAAGGTGGATAACAGGAGTAAAAGTGACAGAAGATGTCATTAAATGCATGAGAAACTAAAACATTCAGGTATTAAGAAAGGGGAGTAAACATCCACGATTAGAATTGAGAACGACAACCACAGATAGTAGCTTCATAAGTATCAGTTTTAATAGGTAATAAGATTCAATTCAAGTAGAGAACATTACCATAAAAGCCCCCCCCCCCTGGTGGGTTAAACTTTTCTGCATTTGGTACCGCTAAGACCATCAATGAGAGCAGAAATTTAAATGTTAATATTGGCTTGGCAACTTCATTTTTTTTTTTTGATCAGCAACTTAAATATTAACATCAGCTTAAAAACTTTACAAAGTAAGCATGGTGAAATGATCAAAATTTTGGGCTTGGGGGAGAGAACCTCTTTATAACAAGGTAAACAATTCGAAGGTGTGTAGTTTAGTTTGGAATAAAAAACCTGGCATTCAAGATTCCATGCAACTTACCAAACTCAGACAGTTTTTTTTCCTGAAAGGTGAAAATATTGATATTTTCGATATCTAAATTCCAAAACAAAAGAATGTTCTGAAACCAAGAAAAGAATTTATTGTTCCAATATTTTGAGAGGTACGTTATACACAAACATGGAGCATTATACCATGAATTATATAAAGGCATTAGGTGAAAGTTGAAAACAAAATAAGCATAATTACAACAAAGGGTAGGGGAAGCAATGCAACTCTTGAGGACAAGTAAGACCAGAAATACTCTTTTTACGGGCACCTAAAAACCACAGTTGACCTTTTAAGACTTCATTAAAGACCTTGAGAGCCACATAATTGAGAGGAAGGATCAAGATAGCAACTTAAACTTATGTGGATAGTAATATCACAAGCTAAACTTATGTAGATAGGAACATCAAAGCTATGTCACACAATTGAATTTAGTTAATGACCTTTGGGGCATTTGGAATTAATGAAATTCAAGGATCTTCAACAACAACAAGCAAGAGGCAAATACAATTATTGATCTATCCCAGTGAGAGTAACCCATTCAACATCTATAAGAAAGGAGTTCAAAAGGCACACCCATGAAGTCCATTTTCAGGGGATGGCAAACAGTAGCCGGTCATCCATAACAAAATCTGACATTCAAGACTAGGTTGCATTGGGCAGTGAGTAATGAAACTTAACTTTGATAGATCTGCTAGTTTTTTGGGTGGCTTCTCTGTATAGTTGCTGGCTGTACATGGAGCACACTGGACAGATATATGTTTTTGTTCTTTACAGTATAATTTCAAAACAATACCTTACCTCTTTCTCAAAAGAAACTTTGATAGATTTGCTATAGCAACCCTGGTTCCCCCAATATTACTGAGGTCCTTTTGGATCATGCTGACAATATGCTTAGAGTTTAGATGTTTGCACCCTTGAAAGGCTTATAATTGACCTTCTCATCAGGTTGGAGTGCTCTATTGGTTGAAAGTGACTACCAAGTAGTGATTGAATGGATGTCTTTGGCAATGGATGGTCCATGGGCTTTAAGATTCTTATCAAAGAGGAAAAGGCTTTTACTAATTGCTTGAATAACTTGCTCAGGCGGATTCCCAGATTGCATAATGCCTTAGATGAACTTGCAAGGGTTGTAAGGGTGGAGCTGCAACAGGAACATCAGGACCACGGATACATCTATAGGTCTGGATTCAGCTGCTTTTTTCTGACTCTCATACGTTCTTTTATCTTAAGTTCTTTGTCATGCTGGTTTGTATTACTTGTACTGTTCCCAGCTCTTAGCTCCTTATAACAAGATTAATCTTTCCTCTCTTTACAATAACTAAGATCATCTTTGATCACAACTAAATCCATCACCATTTCTTTCTAAAAGGAAAAGCAACATGACATGCTCAAGGAAATGTTTAAAAAAACAATAGACAATTAAATTTGCAATGGAGCCACCAACCAAGGGTTAACAGAGTAAGTATAGATGCTCTCCACAACTTCACAGAAGGTAAAGGGTGTTCACCTCTCAAGAGTGAATCATGTTCAGGAGTTGGCAATATCTTAACCACCTTAAGCTCCAAAGAATCAACAAAATAAAAGGCAGGCATCAATTATATACACCATCGGCAAGAAAAAATACAGAGAAGTAACATTGAATTCAAGAAGATTACAGAAAAAGCTAAATCATAGTGTCATATAAAATGAGCATTCAAGGATTATATGCAACTTGGTTAGGTTACAGTTGAGGAGACACAATAACTGAACAAAGTCGCAATTACACTCCAAAGTCTAAACAGCGACTTCAGTCAAAGCCTACGCACCATTATCTAATGCAAAAAAATTGCAACAAGCAAGTTACCTTTTCAGTTGCATAGAGAAAATATCTTATAAACTATATATAATAAACCGACCTTTTCCCAGGCAACCAAAAGTATGCAAGAGAGAATCGAAGGAAGAAATTTACCGAAGCTGAAACCGTACGTGGCCATCAAAGCTTTGTTAACAATGATGATTCCGACCGAAGTGACGACGTTGAACATCCATGAGGCAGCATCTACTGCCGCCTTCTTTTCAGACTTGCTAGCTGGGGCCATTTTCACCTACGACTCTGAAGCTCTATATTACCTTTGAATCTCCATGAAAGCAAAATCAAGAGCTTCTTATATGAAACAATCAACTGCTTCTTATAGCTGTTCTAGTAATCCAACCAATCTATCTGTTAAAATACATATTTAGAGCAAATCAGAAACAGAATTTCGCATCCATGATTCCTTTGATCTACATTTCAAATAACTACCCAATGACTGAAAAAGCAGCCCTAGATCCCCTCCAAATCCATTAAATTTGTTTGCTAGACATCGAGAAATTCCATGACAAAATAACAAGAAGAAACAAAGAAAACGCGGGATAAATCTGACCTGAAACCAATCCCTGGAAAATGAGTAAACGTGTGGAGATTATGAACCCGATCTGAGATCGGAAGAGAAAATTAGGGTTAGCTTTCTCTACTGGGAGTGGGACATCTTAGATGAGAAGAGATCTAACAGGCAAGGGTCGAAGGGTCGCCGTTGGTAAAGAAACACGCGCCCGGGACGTCGACCACTCTCCCCCGTTAGCAGTTAGCACCCCTCTTCTTCAGTGAAGGAAAAGGAAAAGGAAAAGGAATTATGTCAATAATCCTTCTGAAGAAATAGTCCTCCCTAGGCTTTTCCCCGTTCGATTTTTCTCGTGATGCGGGCTACCAGGATCATCCAACGGTTAGGACTAGAGACGTGAATGATTGGTCCATCCTAGGACCACTAAATTTCACTTATTAAAGTGAACAATTAATTCGTTAAAACTAAACGGTGATGATCTCATGTGTCGCACTCGACGAGCATGGAGTAATGTAGAGACTTTGATGAGTCTTTTATATTAAGTGGAGTTCAATTTCGCTCCTCCCACGAAGGACGCTCCTTCTGATCCTAGCAAATCATTGATGGACACGTAATCAATTTGAAAATTAATCCGAATAAAATATTTCAAATCTTAATATAATATTAGTTACGTGTCGATCAATGAGTCGCTCGGCATCATGAAGGAGCGAAAATGAACTGGTAGTCGTAGACTTCAGTTTTGAATGCTTCGTCCTGAATTCTTTCACAAAAATCTCGGACTCGACCTACAAATCACGGTAAGCTTCCATCTACGTTATAAAAGTTGGCTGTTTGTTTTTTTGTTTTTCCCTTGTATACAATAATACCTCACACACATCGTTGAAATTATGAATGGCGACCTATCTGTAGTCTGTACTATTATCATCTGTGGGGCCCTTCTGAAATGGCAAATCGTTACAGACAAACGGTGTTGGATGGATGCATGATTTATGTATGCTTTGGCTTTTTGTTGCTATGCCTATAAAATAAATAAATAAATACAGATCGAGCAATTAAAATAATTATAGTGTAACCTGTAACGAATTTCCATAGACCATAGTATTGTATGTTTTCTCCAATTAAGTTGCCACGTGGAAGATCTAAGTCGTTTAAGGAAGCACAGTATACCATTCAACTTCAAGGCAGCAGAATGAGCCAATTAGTTCCAGTCATATATGGCTGGGCCTGACTTCCCAAGGACGTCCAATTTTCTCCTAAATTTGTTTTATAGATTTTTCATAAAGCAAATAACGTATTAAATGCTATTATTTATGTTGGATAACAGTTTTATTTAAAAAAAAAAAAAACATAAGGCATTCAGGCAGGCTCTGTGCTTGTGGGTAATAAGATCAGATATGATTGATTGAATGTAATAATAATGTTAAATGTGAAACATAAATGAATGAAAAATAAGTAAATTTAACCGTTGGTTGAGATCTGAATTTAACATGAAGTCAATATAAATGAATGCCATGTAGTTGATATCTTAATTGCATCTTGATTTCTGATGTCCAATTTATTGGTGTGTAGGAATTGATTCTGCTCCATTTTTGTCCTCTCAATAGTCTGGAACTCACCTCAATGCTCGCTAATCTTGTTTGTTTAATTCCTTTCTTCTATATCATGTTCGCCTAATTAGGTCTACTTGTTGGTTTCCTTCCCTATGAAATGTGTGAGGTTTTTCCTAAAGTGGTATTTGTTTGGAGTGGAAAATCGAACCGGTGTAAATTTTACATTCCGGTTCGATTTTACATATGTTTGGTAAGCATGTAATTCTCCACTTACGATTTTCTTTACACCGATAATCGATGTAAATTATACATCGAAATTATCGATGTAAAACTCATCGGTTCTATCGTCGAGGTAAACTCCTCTCACTCTACCCTGGCTGTCTCGCATGTCTCTCTCCTTCGTTCCTCATCTACTCCGTTAGCTCTCTCGTCGGTGCTGCTGCTTCTTTGCCGAACATCCGGTATTCTCACTCACTCGCTCTATCTCTCTTTCACCCCCTCTTAGTTCTCCCTCTGACTCACACTCTCTCGCTCTCTCACCCCCTCTCGGATCTCCCCGTCATTGATCTGCTCTTTGTATTGCAGATCCCAGCCTATATTCAAGGGAAATCAATCCCAGCTCTTGCAGTGCAGGTATTGTCTTCATCGGAAGAATCGGAAAGATATTAATATTAATATTATTTTCTTTTCTTTTCCCTCCCTATTGATTTCTATGTTCTATCATTCCTAGGGTGGTCTGGTGCTCGATCCGCGTGTGGTTTTTGTTGGATTTGTAGTGTTTTATCATTGTTGTTGTTGTATTATTTTTATCATTGTTGTTATTGTTTATTCATTTTATTATTTTGTATTTATATAGCGTTACTCTACTGGTTTTCCTAGTTCTGGTTTGAAGTCTATTGGGGAGTTGAATGATGCTGCATAGTATGGATATATAGATTTCTGCACTAACTCTATAGATTCCATTTTAATATGTTGGGTTTTTTATTCCAGGGCTTCTCGGGAGAATGGGGTTGTTCTCGAGTGACAGGACTTAGTAGAAAACGGACCTAATTTCTCCATCAACTAGATCCTACCAAACTCACTTCCTAATTGTTCAATTTCTACCTAAATCTGGGCTACTCACACCAGCTATGCGATTAAGGGATTCTTGGTTGGTGAAGTGAATTAGTGGCATGCGAACATCTCTTGTTTCTAGTTGTTTTGCATTTTTTTTCATTTTCTACTCAATCGTATCATTCTTTACAGGACCTTTAGCTATTTATAGCACTATGGATTCATTATATACACAGAGAATAGCAGAGTCAACCTTTAAACAAATGAATTACATCACATCAACAGATATTGTTTTTACGGCCTTTTGAAGTATATGGATTTCTTAATTCATTGTAGGTTTACATAATGCATGTTAATGGATTGAATTGAACGTTTGAATGATAGGGCTGTTTACCCTCCCTTTTGAAGGAGATTCACTTTGCCTCTTGGCTAGATTAATTGAATGTTGGATAGATGCTATTTAAATCATCAACTTAATGCCAATCTTCACCACTTTTTGGTCAAAATGTGAATTGAAATGGGGTATTAAGTAATTGTAGGAATCTTAAAATATATAGATTGTGTTTGCAAATAAAGCTAATGTTGTTGGTGAAATTTTCATATAAAATTATTAATTTTTTATTTAGGTTAAGACGCATGGTGCATTTGGTTGGTGGTTGGCTTCTTTTTTCTGTTTGGCTTTGGAAAATGAAGCCACAATTTGAAATTATTTGACATGGGTTTATGGATTTTGGACAAGGCAATATCAAAATCCCATTGACCAAATTTCCTCTTTATCAAAATCTAAAAAAAGAATGCCCCCTAATTACTAGCTAATTTGGTGGTTTTGATAATAGCTAATCTAGTTTAACTAATAAGCATTCAGTGAAGAAATGTTTATCTCCTCACAAGCTAAAAACATCTTAATGAGATGAATAGCCATTCAACTTTTGCCCTCATGCATACCCTATTGAGCATCTTATATTATTAGCCCATTCAAAATTAAATCTTTGGCTAGCTTTGAGAATCTCTTTTCATCTTATATTATTGTTTAATTAATTAGAAGCTTTGCCTCTACTATCTTTAGTCTTTACCTTAGCACTTTTTTTTAGTTCAAGAAACGCTTTCCAGCCCGGTTTTGGCCTTTTGGGATGTCAAGTCCTCCATCTTTATTCTGTTTACAAAGCTTTCCTATTAATCCAAAAGGTGTGTATTAATTGCTTTCTTTTTTTGGTGTTCCTTCTTATAGTGTATTTGTTAATTTCTTGTAGATTTCTTTTGGAGAATTTAAAGCAACTTATTTTATTTAGATATTAATTATGGGATGCCAATCTTTAATTGAAAACAAGGATATATCCCAATATTTCTCCTGTATTTTAGCATTATTAAACATTCTCATCAAATTTCTACTTTTAGTTTTTCAGCTAATAAGTGATAATTTATTAAAAATGGAGTACTAATCTTACATACATGTAACTCTTACAAACACCCCTTAAAACGTTGACACCTACCCTTGTAAGGCTAGAGAAGGTAGATATCTTACTTAATTAGGATCGTAGGTGTTGCAAAGGCTGCATCACCTACAGGCCTAGCCATGTCTTTGAAGGAGAAAGTCTTTAATTGATCATGTTGGTGCTGATGATGATCAAATGGTGCTGCTTCCAGTTGATTAATTATGTTGACACAACAATCAGCTAAGTTGCAAAATCAATCCAAATCAATTGGTTAAGCAGATCCAACTGAATTAGATTAACTTAGGCTAATAATTCAGATGGACAAAAGATATATTGAACTTTTGGGGTCGTCTTTAAAGACAAAAAATCTTTTTTTTTTTTGATAATACAAAAAAATTATCATTTGATCAAAAATTTATCAGAGTTCAGAAAAGAGGAAGGATTATCAAAATAAGCAACCTCCGTATTCAAAGTCTGGGCCCTCTTAATTTGCAGTTTCATGTGTCATCCCATTTTTTGTCCCTAAAAATAAACTTAAAAGATACCAAAATATTAACGGATCAAACAAAACATTATGTGGTCCACCAGACTCATAAATCTGGGCTAACATTCACAATCCCATAATTCAAGATACTTGTCCAAAGCAAAAGAAACAGAAGACTCAATTGCACTTAACTCCATCTGCAGAACCGAACCAGCAACTTGCGACTTTCTGGTAACTATACAGCCACAAAACAACCAGAATTACTGAGGCAAACAAATGCATAAGCCCCCCGGCCATTTAGGAGAACTCACATCACAAAACAAAACAAAATCTGCCCCTTGGGATAAGAGCCTCCAACTCCAAGCAGGGCTTGGGGACTGATGTTTACTGGTGGTTATGAGATGATGAATTATATCGTAAATCATAAGATTATTTATATTTTCTATATACTTGTCAAAAAATTAAATATAGATATAACTAAAGGTTAAATATATATACGTAAGTATCTTTACCCTATTTTTAATCTATATATACCATATATGTACCTAAAATAATAAAATTTACCACTTATGCAATAGAAGTCTAAGATGATAACATCAAGTTTGACTTAAAAGTCAAACAAATCCACATCAATTGGTTATTTAACCTACAATATGATGGAAAATAAATTCAATTTCTAGTCTTAGGGCCTGTTTGGCGCATCTTTTTGTGCAGTCTTTCGATTGTTTACAAGCCAAGCTGAATAATTTTCGGTCTATTCC